ACCTGAAATACAAGAAATATACTTCGCAAGGACTAAGAAAGGCACTCGCGTCGTAAGGGCCACCTAAATCTCTCACCTCAATCCAGGCTTCGCCGTGGAGCGTTTCTGGGGATCTGCTGGCAAGAACCCCCCGGGGCCAATGCCCATACTCGCTCCAAGGCCTGGGGCCAAGGGAGCAGGAAACCACGTCTGCCCGGGACGCGTGAAGGGCAGCTGTGACCCAGCCCCTCCTGGAGAATCTTCCTATAACCTACACAAAAGGATTCTGGGAGGCATTACAACCTGCCGGCTTACCGGATGACGCAGTTAGCTGAGTCAGACCGCAGCATCAACTGGTCAGCGACCAGTTGTCAGCATGTCCAGCTCCTCAGAAAATCTTGGCTTAGCTTATGATAAATACCCTGCCTGATAATAATTACCTCACAGATATAAGTACTTAACATTTAAAACCATTTCTCCGTAAGTTCAGCATGTTCTGAGAACAGCATGTTTTAGAAAGTTGCTGTTGAATATGAAGCGGTTCTGCACACTGAAATGTTCTCCCTTTCACAAACACCTTCCAAAGCATTTTCTGCATTTGGATTTTGGCCAGCCTGAAATGAAGGTAGAACCTATACGGGACCCAGTGTCCTGTAGGCACTTAATAAACGTTAATCAGCGCTGCTGCTTGAGCAGAGCCGTAGCAGCCAGCCAGGCCTGGAAGCATGCAGCTAGACGGAATGACAAGCCCCAGTTTCCGCGATGACACTTAGTAGGTTTTACTGCTATAGACACACAACTCTGAAGAGACCACTGGACTCAGAAAGTCTAACCCCAAGATCCAGCTCAGCTAATGAAAACTTCCAAGTCTCATAAAGTCACTGTACCTCTCCACATCCGAGGCTCCTATGCTGGAAATGACGCCACTCACGTCGCAGGACTGCAGGATTAGAGTATCTGAACATCTTGCTCACTGAAGATACTCAAATACGCAGCAATTAAAATGCTGACAGGATTTGGGTGTGTGGGAGGATGTAGGCAGAGATTAAAAATTCACAGTTCTCTCTCTATGAAATGGTATGTTTCTATTATAAAAACATTAATCTGTAAGACATAAAGCATGCATTATCTAAGACGATGTCTGCATTCTTTAAAAAACAAACAAAAAAAACCAACCACACATTATACTGTTTTGTGGAGACAGCTCATGTAAGAATAGATTGGGTTCTAGAGCCAGAAAACCATGGTTTAAAATCCCAGGTTACTTAGTTGCGCAACTCTAAGCAAGATGATGAATTTCCGCTGCCTATAAAATGCAGCTGTCCATGGCTGTGCTGTGTAAGGCTACTGTGCACCTGACTGTGTATTTCCTGGTAAGGCACACGGCCTCGTTTATTAAGGTGTCCAGCCCTGTCCATCTGACATTGTATTATGCAGTATCACTGCCCCCACCATTTACAATGTTTTCAAGTATCTTGAAAGTTGGTTACTAAAATGTCAACATCAACTCTTTGTTTTATTATTAGCCCATTGAACTACCTCTATTTTAATCTCCAAGTCTGATACTTTGTGCCTTAGCATAACCGTCAAGAAACGGATTATTGTATTAAAGCCCCAGCTCTCAATCTGTGTTCACATCAGCTGTTTCGCAACACCGCACTTCCTGCACCCGAGTGGCTAGTTTGGTGAGGGCCTTCCTTGTAAGTCACGACTTGGGGACTGCAGTCACTGCCTTTAAAAGTGACTCTGCTATCAGAGCCAGCCAGGCCACCCTTGGAAGCATACACATACCTGCCCAGGGGATCCAGTGTGCAAACCTTTTTCGTACTGAATGTGTGTCCTATTTTTGCCCATTCTGATTTTCACTGTGGCCAAAGAAAAGCTCTAAAGGATCATGAATAGCCTGGAAGCTGAGCTGAATGTACTCTTGTCTCAACTCTGTAGTGAATTCCTTATGCAGACAAGTATTCACTGAACATTTACTACAGAGTATTTCGGGCACCGTTCTGGTGTTTGGGAAGCTTCAGCGCACACGGACCTGCTAAGATAGTACAGAGCCCTGAAGACAGCTAAGTGGGGTGAAGGGCAGAACACGGCTCAGACTAGTCTTGCCTTACCGGCTTCTCACAAACCATCCAGCTCTAGGAGACAGAGCCATAGAGACCAAGCTGGTTGGGTGTCCATTCTCTGGCTTCTCGGTCACCACGCTGTGACCTGGCGGGTCTGCATTTCTGACCATGCCCCAGGAGCTGGACAGGCATCTGTCGGGTGTGAGCTGCTTGCTCTGCTAACTGCCACGGTGAGTTGATTTGGGGAGATGTGTGGTGTGAGGCTGGCAGCTGAGTAGGTGAGCCCCAACAAAGAGGATGCTTTCACCAATTTCACTCTTGGTATATAAGTACAAACTTGCAAGTAAAAATTTAAAAAAAAATTAAATTTAGCTTTAGATTTTGCTGTAAGACTTGGGAGGAAAAAACTATTATATCCAAGTACTTTGATTTTTCAGTTCACTGGTCACTGGTCTAAAAAGGCCACCACTATACTTGGCCTTCTCTGCCGCACATTTACCATCAGTTTAAAGGAACTTGAATATGGCAGTGAACAAAGTCGTTCTATGACAGGTATCATTAAAAGACTCCCTTTTTGAACTAGGCCAGACGTGCCTGAGAAGTATTCTGCCGGCCGCCTGAAGTGAGTGAGGAGCTGCACTGCAGCACAGGGCAGGCGGTCCTGGGGCTGCCTCGGGACAATGGGACTAATCTGGGGATCACACTGAGCCATGAAGGCCATCAGAGCAGAGGCAGAATCCACGAGGCTAAGCGACAACACAGAAACCAGGCAGAATTCACCCAATGGGAAAGAAACACCTTCGTTCCTCTATAAATCTGTTCTTTTGTCCTTAAGGCCAAACTGAAAGCTGACAACTGAGATTTTAATGCATCTTCCAGACTCATTTAATGCTGTTCAGCCTTCTTTTTTTTTTTAATTAGAAGATAGATTTAATTCAGTCACAACTATCATTCCAGAAGGGTTATTCTGGAGCTAGTCTAAACTATTCTACTACAGGCAGCAGTGGCAAAGAGGATGTGGGCGAGGTTGGGAGAGCAGCAGGAACACAGAACGGCATGAAACTTAAAACACCAGCCGAAACCCCGACGAGAGGGGTGACTATCAAATCCAGCAGTACATTTTGGAGACCTGTAAGTAACAAAAAGAAAAAACTGACAGCTGACACTGTGTATACCCTCTGTATTAGTGAAAACTTAATTGATCAATGAGAAGAATATTTCTAATAATTCGGACAAAGTAGTCAGAAAAGTCAAACACAAAATTCAACCTGGCCAAGCCACAAGCCAGCGTGCTCCGGACCTCAGGCTCTAGATTCAGCCCCTTTGTTTTCCCAAAGGAATAGCTCTCACCGAGGGTTTCTTCTTACCAACACATTCTAGCCTCAAACAAGAGTAACAAGAACAAGAGTCCCTTAACAGATGCTTCTTCGTGGCAACCGTCCTTGCTCAGAGGACAACAAAACTTCTCAGGAAGGTCTCCGCTTCCTCGCCTTCTTTTCCTATCCAAAGCTCCCCAGTCTGGCATCTACCCCTCCTCTCCACTGAAACAGCCCCCATCAAAAATTCCGGTACCCCATGCGTCTTCAGCTTATTCCACTTCTTATGACCACCTGACAAGGCCTATTTACCTTCCCAAACTCTCCTCTTGCTTCCCTCCTCCTCTGCTTCTGTAATAGCCATCCAAACTCTAAATCTGCTCTATCATTTAGGGAGCCCACTAGTCACATGTCACAACTGAGCACTCAAAATGTGGCCACTCTGTGCAATACGCTGTGAAAGTCAGATACACATTGGTATTGAAGCTTAAGAATGTAAAAAGGATCTCACACAATTCTGAAATCTTAATACGAACTGTGAAGACGTATTTGGGGCCCAATGGGTTAATACAATATATTTTCACATTTTATCTCACGTTTTAACAAAAGATTTATGTATTTATGCATACAGAACTGGGGTACAGGCAAGAGGTGCAGAGGCAAAGGATTCGCCAGAGACAGAGTGGGGAGCAGAACAGGCAGATCCACAAAGTCCACTGCTGAGGGGAGCAGCGGGCAAGTCAGGAGAGGTCTGCTGCACCATGTGGGTCACCTCCAGGCCAGGGATCGAACATACTGAAGCGGCTGCGGCTGGCTTGCAGTGCTGTGCTTTAACCCATTGCGCCACCAGGGAGGACCCTATTTTATCTCACTTTTTAATATGGATACAGACACCTTAAAGCTGTGTACGTGGCCGTGGCTTGGACTGTATCTCAATTGGACAAAGCTGCTCTAATGCCAGCAGTTGTCTAGGGTTTGGTTTCCCTCCTCCCTGGCCTTGTCACTACAGTAAAACATGAGCCCCTGGCTCACACCAGGGGCACAGAAATGTGGACGGTGATATGACTATTTTCAGACAGATAATGACAGCGATCAAGAGGCAGGATTCTGGGGTGAGAGATAATTACTGGCGAGGCAAAGACCAAAGGAGAAGCCTGACCCAGCAGCTTTTCAGAAGAGCGATAACCAAGGCCTATGCTAGGTTGTGTAGGGACTTTACCATTAAAGTTTCTAATTGCTCCCCTGGAATGAGTGCCTAGTTTAAGGTTGCAAAAGCTTCAACTGCTTCTCTTTCTCTTTTACAAGCTCATACCTTGTCATGGTGAAGACACTAAAATTCTAGTTAAATTCTAGACAAAAATTCTAGTTAATCACTGATGTGACTAAGGTTAATCAAATAGACTACCCTTGGCCAATTAGATTTGCTCAATAAAGACCTGTGAAATCTGGCACCAGGAAGAAATTTAGCCACAAACTCCGTTCCACTTGTTATATATAAGAGCAATGATGCTGAGAAAGATGGAAAAATCAATACATTCAGATATGAAAGCAAAAAAAGAAAAAGCACTTTAGAAGCGGTACGTGTGTAAATCAAGGGTCAACAGGAGATGTAAAATTCATTATCGAAACTACTAACCATTCTATAAGCACTCCTTTCAAGACGTTGACCATCTTTCCTCGGTCAGAAGGTGCGGAGGACCTCAAGAAAGCTAGTAAAAGGGATAAGGTGACACAAAATTCAAAAGCATCAACTTCAATGTACCTTGGTGATAGGCGCATCAAATGACGCAATAAATATTACATGTCAAGCTTAACCATTTAAGCTGCCGAGATGCAGGGCTGACATTAAGAAAACATACGTTCTGATCTAGCGCACAATGAAATCTGCCCTCCTAGGAACAGTAATGGAGCACGGACCCTACTTGGCACACGCGGCCCACCCGCACAGTGCCCCCCAGCTCTCGCAGGTGTCCACCTGCCAAGGGCTTTCTTTCCCCACCCCGGGGTACGATACAAGCTCGGGTCCCGGGCGGCGGGCACCACAGCCTGGCAGCTTAGAAAGGGGCCTTGCAGGGTCTGGGGCAGCCCGGCCCCACTAAACCCTCAAACCGCACCCGGACGCGGGGCGCCCCCTCCCCCGCGGAATCCTTTAGGCTTCGCGGGGCAGCGGCCCGGCTCGTCAGGAAGAGCCCACGAGGGCGCGGGCCCCGCCCGGCACCCCGGCACCTGAAGACGCGTTCCTGAGTCCTTGGTCCCTCCCCTCTTCCTTCGCGACCGCTCGGCTGTCCACGCACCCCGCTTTCCCCTTTGTTCCGAGAGCAGACGCCACGCACCTCCGCCCACACAGCCGGCAGCGCCTCGGCGTCCCACACCAAATGCGC